GGCAGGGTCACATTTTGAAAATTTTGACTTCTTTGATTTTCTAGCCTTATAAACTACAGAACCATCTTTTGTATTTTGAATCAAATAATTGATTTAATGTATACTTAAAGTTTGATGGATTTATGCCTCTCTTCTTTAATATACAAATAGTTACCTCCAAGTCCTTTTTATATAATATACGCAGATGATTCGGCTAATGTTTGTTAATAAAATTGGCAACGTTTAATCCATTAGAACAAGAATATAAAAATCCAAGAAAAGAAAAAACAAAGAAAGATTGCGCGTAAGTATAAAAAAACAAAGGTTAGCATCTCATAAAACAGGGCTTGAATGTAACTGTAAAAGGTTGAAATGATTCAAAATTGTTAAAAGAGAAGATAGAACTGTTTTATTAAGTTAAATTTAGCTGAAAAATTAATGATTTAGTTTATGAATTAATAAAAAAACGAATACAGTCGTTATACCAGGGAAAAAAACAGCAAGATCCGAAAAAAACTTCACTTAAAAAAGATCTAAAATCAATGTTATTGCACGTGACCTGGAAATATAACTTTAATTGCAAAAAAATAAGGTTACTTTTGCAAAATACCTTACAAGTTTACACTTCTTTTCTAAAAATTAAAGGGCTATTAAATTTAAAGTTTAATATTGAGTTTTCTCAAAATGAAAAAATCTGACCCTTCCGTTTCTTTCCATGGAGTCTTCATTTAGTTTGCTGCAACATTTGATTTGCGCGGTTTTAGGTATTTTTTCCCGGTAAAGTTTGAAAGTATCAATAATAGGTTTCTGCCCATGATTAAAAACCTCTCTAGTTTCGGTCCATGATAGTTTTAGCTATAATTGACGGTTTGATTCTCTGAATCAAACCGTCCCAAAATTGTTTACTCTCTGGCCAACCATTCGAAAGGTCTGGAATTTAGACAAAGCTGAAACAAAGCAGTTGGCAGAAGGCGCATACACCCATGCAGAGTTGTTAGTCCTTGGTCTTGACCTTGGTCTTGCATTAAGCTCAAAAATTGAACCCTTATCCTTGGTCTTGGCCTTGAAACTGTTAGCCTTGGTCTTGAAAAGTTTAACCTTGGCCTTGGCCTTAAAAAAAAAATACATATTTTCTTAATAAATTTTGTTGAGTTCTGCTAACCTTGGTCTATTTTTATAAAATGTGGTTTTATTATTAAATTATTGAATTATTAAATTATTGAATTCTTCATTCTTCCGTCATTGGTTTATTCTTCAAAATTTGTAGGCTGTTCCTGGTCAAAAAGTCCTATAGGATCCTATAAGAATTTAGAAAAAAATAATTTCAGATTTGAACCCCATTATATTAAACACGTGTTAAAAAAGTTGAACAAGTTAAAAAATCTTTATAATTGTCAAAGTTTTTTTTTGTTCTAAAATCCTATTGGTCCTATATGATTTTTTGGCGGTATTTACTTTTTAAACGGGAACAAGCAATAGTATTTTAAAGTTTAATACCTAATCCGCATTTTAGGCATCTACCATTGATCATCCCGGTCATATTTTTAAAATCCGGAAAATTGTTTGGGTATCATATCCGGAAAAAATCCGAAATATAATTTCCCTTATTTTTTTCTTAATTTTGCTTTTAGCTGAGTTGTTTCCAATATTTTTTCTAAAATTTACTTAATTTTAGCATGAGTAAAAGTGAAAAAGCTTAAAAAACAATTATATTACAAAAATATACACTTAAACTTGTATGTATGAAAAACGTTTTGGATATCCGGAAAAACTACAAATTTAGAAAAATATCCGGAGTTCCGGAAATATCCGGAAAAATATAATCCCTGGTATATGAAACACAAATTTATTTATTATAAACATTTTTTACTTTTATAAACATTTCGTAAAAAGCTAGTCCCTAGTTTATTGAAAAACACAAAAGTACTTGAGGTAAAATGGAAAATACTCCATTATGCTCCACTAGTGGTATATAAGTAAAAACACCTGGGCTCATCCGTTTCAAGATATAATCTTGTTCTATATTAGTTCAACACTGTAAAATCCCATTCATATTACTATTTAGTTGTTTCCACACTCAAAATGAGGTTTATTTACCAAAAAGCATTTTTTCCCAATACCCAATTTTGCACCAGTTCTCTTTATATTTATATATTTATATAAAGAGATATAAATAACTATAAATAATAAAAATTTGTGAAAATAAGTGAACGTAAAAAACGCGAACGTAAAATGTTTGACGTTTCCTCCATGCCTGATAGTTTTAAAGTCAAACATTAAGGAATCCTAGATAACCTAACATTAACATCACTAGATTATTACACCTAACATTAACATCACTCGATTACTATATCTAACAATAGGAAATCCAAGAATCACTACACCTTATATATTTTAACAATTACAATAAATAATTAACTAAAGATGACTTTTTTAAAAAAGTTTACAAACATTATGGCTAAGAGTATGAAAAATAAAAAGCTTTTTAATTTTAGCATATACTTCAGTCTAATTCTTAATGGCCATTTATTGCGTGATTTTTAAATTAATAAACGTTGCAAGATGTTTGGTTTGTTTCCTGCCCTCTTTTTAAAAACCACATATATATTTTGTTAAGCTCATTTCTCACTGGTGAAGGAAAAAATGCATAAATGACTGCGTCTGTTAGGAACCCGATATAATACATGATGTAAATCAATATACTAGAAGGTGTTTTTTTTTGCGACTTGTATAAAAAATAAGTGATAAATGCATCTGGCACAGCAAAAAATACAACGTTTGATAGCAATAGACTAAACAATGCTATGCTTTTATAAAATTCACGATGTTTACGCTTTGTTTTTATTGCTGTAGAGCATGTTTGACAAACAAAACAGGATTTAGGTATTGGATTTTTAATCTTTCTATTAAGTTCATAGTATTTGAAAATTATATAAATATATACTCCAAATACGGTCGTAAGTAAAAAGGTATTTGTAATTGGTCTA